AAGGAAGGAAGGAAGGAAGGAAGGAAGGAAGGAAGGAAAGAAAGAGGGAAGGAAGGAAGGAACGATGGAAGGAAGGAAGGATGGATGGAAGGAAGGATCGAAGGAACGAAGGGAAGGAAGGATGGATGGAAGGAAGGAAGGAGGGAAGGATGGAGGGAAGGAAAGAAGGAAAGAAGGATGGAAGGAAGCTTTCTGGACAAACTCATTTTATTTTTATATTTAATTCAGAAGGCTGCGAATAAAAAAATTATTTAAAATCTTATTTCATAAATGAATGCCATTGATGTTTTTATTATTTTAAATTTGATTTTGCATGTCTCCACTATTAAGTTATATATGATGTAATAAGAGTTGCTTGTTCCATATTCAATGTTTAAGCAAAATTTATTTCGTTCCATATTAAAAGTTCATTTATTTAATCTTGGCTTTGTTCAGGTTTTAAATTTTGGCCCACTTTGTTTTAGAGTTTCACACCCCTGATTTAGAGCTAAATACAACAAAGATATTACATAAACACTCATTTATCTCCCAGAGTTTCACCATTTCTGTCTATTTGTGATGTCATACAGCTTTTTATTTTTAATGACTTCAGGCTTTCAGACGCTTTGGTTTCACTCGGTGTGAATTTAACACAAAAAATGGACCTTCAGTCACTCCTGAGTGAACCAGTTCATCTTTTTGGAAGCAGATTTGGATTTGTACTTCTGGTAGAAGACGAAAGCCCCCAGAATGAGGCAAACGGCCCCACTGACCCCCGCTACCATGGAAACAGCCACCACCGTCACATCGCCCTGCTCCAAACCTAAAAAAAGAAGAGAAAATGTGAGGGTTGAAGTTGTCTAAGTGTTTTGGGACAGATTAATCAATTGATCAATCAATCAATCAAGTTTATTTGTATAGCCCGGCCTATACAATACCCAAATGGTACTCAAAGGGCTTTACAACAAAGCCATAAAACAATACAAAAAACATACAAAACATACAGAAACGACTAAAAATGCTGCAGGGCATTAAAAGCCTTCCAGAATTGTGTAGAAAGGAGCAGACAGAAGGAGGAAACCTAAGAGACTTTAGTCTGAATTAAATGCTAATTTAAAAAAAAAAA